GGAAAATATGGAACAATAAGATATGTAATATAAGATGGAGCTAGGTTGTTGAGAGCTTTGCAAGTTAGAAGCAAGATTTTGAATTCAATTCTGAATTTGACAGGGAGCCAATGGAGAGAAGCTAAAACTGGAGAGATATGATCTCTCCTACTAACTCCAGTTAAGACAGGCAGAAGCATTTTGGATCAACTGAAACTTTTGTGGGGGATAAAATACATGTCCTGATCAAAAATAACACCAATATTTTTTTCCATTAGAGCTGGAGACCTAATATTTTACAGATAGATTATCCTAATCTAATAATCTATTTATTAGACAACCATGGCTCAAGAAATACATAATTCATAATTAGTACAAAAAATCTAGTAGAAACCAAAATTCAACAGTTTTCAACAACTTAAAAATCGGTATCCTTTGAGAAACTGGTGAATGAACATGATCTAGTTTTTAAAAAATCAAAATGTTTTCATAGTCATTTATGAACATAAAGTAAATGTGTTTGATCCTGAGCGAATTGAACTTCTTTATGCTAGTTCATTTAGTATTAATTTATACAACACTGATGTTTACTTGGCTTTTCCTGATAGAAATAATAGTGATGATCACAAAAACCTTGTGGTTGAAACAGTCATTTTCCTGATGAAAATAAAGAAAATGTGATGCTCATCCAGTACCTTCTGCTTCTAGATGAATGAGACTGACTTGATCAAGAGAGATACACTTATGTTAAACTGATGTTTAGTGACTTGCTCAGGCCCCGCCCCTTTTTTCATTCTGCACCTATGCTTTTTTCTTTGCTTAGGAGACATGGATTCAAGTGTTGTTATTTATGTATTTATTTCTTTACATTTTTGTGACCAGTTCATAACATCCATCCATCCATCCATCCATCCATTCATGCATCATCTTTACCGGCTTCTTCTATTTCGAGTTGCAGGGGTCACTGGTGTCCATGTCCAGCCATCACTGCAAGAGGCGGGGAACACCTGAATGGGTCTCCAGTCCATCACAGGGATACATAGACAAACAAGACAAACAACCATTCACTCTCTCTTTCTCACCTAGTGACATGGAGATACCAATCAGCCTAACTTGCATGTTTTTGGTCTATGGGAGGAAACCAGAGTACCCAAAGAAACCCGAAGCAACACAAAAAGAACGTGCAAACTCCATCCAGAAAGGTCCCCAGCTGGGATTTGAACCGGCAACCTTCTCAATGAGAAGAAACATCTCTACCAACTGATCGACCATGCCACCTGTGTTTTTTTTTGTATATTAAATAATTTATTGAGCCAAGTATTTGTGCATTTATTCCCAGAAAAAAATTGTCCTCCACAGTCTTGTGTGCATTGTTTAATATATGTGTGTGTGTGTGTGT